GTGGTTAGTATGAGGTGTGTGTGTGTGTGTGTGTGTGTGTGTGTGTGTGTGTGTGTGCGTAAGCATGCGTGCGTGTGTGTGTGTGTGTGTGTGGTCGGTCAGTAGGATGTGTGTGATCTGTATGAGATGTGTGTGTGTGGTTAGTATGAGGTGTATTTGTGGTTGTGTCTGTGTTTGTGTGTGTGGTCAGTATAAGGTGTGTGTGTGTGTGGTCAGTATGAGGTGTGTGTGTGTGGTCACAGTTGGCGGGTCACTCACCCGTACAGTAAGAGGGTTTAACTCTGCTAATCTTCCTCTGCCAGAGTCTCAGAGTGAGGAGCGAAAACCACTTCAGCAAACCAAGAAACAAACAAAACAATGGATGAACGGAAAGATGACGGATGGAGGGATGAGCAGATGGACAGATGAACTGATGAATGGATGAACTGATGAATGGATGAACTGATGAATGGATGTGATGTGATGTTATTAAATCCTCCTCCTCAGCCTCTGCCTGATGGTGTCAGATGGACACACAGGTGCTTCAGGTGTGCTGATCTGTCCTGCTGACAGACTCTGATAATTACACACACACACACACACACACACACACACACACACACACACAAGGAAAGTAGTGATTTGTAAATGTACTCTGTCTTGTATTTGATCGCAGACATTATGAACACACAATATTAGATGTTTGTCTGGTCGACTTCACTTCATGTGTAAATCTCCATCCTCTCCTGTCATTCAGAGCCACAGAACACTCCAGAAACAGAGACAGGAGCAGTTTAGGGCAGTGATCAGGTGATGTGATGTGACACAGGTGATGTCAGCAGGTGATTGTGATTATGATCTGCTACAAAAGCAGCATCAGTAAAGCTCTAGTCCTTTAGGAGCAGAGATGGGTCGAGGATCGCCAGTTTGACAACAAATAGGAGAGAAAATGAGTGAAATGTGTAAACACAATGATCCTCAGAGAAAGAGAGGAGGACATGAGGATATTTCACCTTCAACAGTGCAGAACAGCATTAAAGATTGAAGGAATCTGGAGGAGTTTCAGTGAGTAAAGGACAAGAGTGCAAGCCTAAGCTGAACAAGCGTGACCTCCGACCCCACAGGGGGCGCTGCATCAAAAGTCCTCATTCATCTATAAGCCAGATCAGCACGTGGGCTCAGTCAGGACTGCTGCGGCAAACAGTATTGGGTTGCAGCTGGAAGGGCTTCCGCTGTGTAAAACATGCTGCATTAGTCGGCGGTTCATTCCGCTGTGGCGACCTCTGATAAGTAAACAGACTAAGTCGAAGGAAATGAGTGAATAAAATATAATCAATATTTTAATAGATTTTTAGATATTGTTATCTATAATAGATGAACAGCTGTATTGTCCACCCAACACACACACCTTGGGGTCTATTTTGACGGTCCATGCGCAAAACGCAGGGCGCAAACGCTTTCAGGGCGTGTCAGAATGCATTTTTGCTAATGTAAGGACGGGAAAATCCGCTTTGCGCCATGGTGCATGGTCCAAAAGGGTTGAGTTTATTTTCTTAATGAGTTATAGGTGTGTTTTGAGAATAAACCAGTCTCATCTCCCATTCCCTTTAAGAGCCAGCTGCGTTGCGCCATAAGCGCATCTGCTATTTACAGGACGCAAAGTAAGTGTAAGTGGAAAAACTGAGCATTTCACAAGCAAACAGTTCACAGAAAACAGTTAAACAGAGCATCTACCGCACAAGAATGAGAGATAATGGATCTACTTTCACTTTCGCTCTTGTGGATAGGGAAACCTTTACACACAGACATCAATTAGCCTATAAATAATTCTTTTCAATTGTTAAGCGCAAAAAATTTTTTGTTTAAAAAATTCATTTCTAATTTCCAGCAAACGAATAAATGAACAATAATAATGAAGTGTGTTCAAAAACCTGAGTTATATCCTAAAACACATGCTGTGCCCCATATGGTCTAAAACCTGACAGGTGGACAAATCTAAGCTTGTTTTTAATAAAACAAATATAAATGTGGATATAATAAATAATACTGCTAATAATAATAACATTATACAAAAGCAAATTGTTATGAATGAACTGAAAAAGCCTCCTGAGATGAAGAAGACATGACAGCAGTGACTTTTCATATTTATGTTGGCTAGAAAATAATATATTTTATAATATTTTAATCCTTTATATTTATATCCTATATATATATTCTTATTATATCCTGTATATATCCTTAATATTTTAATTTTTTCATATGTAAAGATATTTGTGTATTGCTCTACATATGGCAAGCCGTTTTGACTTTTATTCCTTCTCAGGATATGTATTCTTCATATCAACAATTCAATTTTTGATATCAACAATAAACATTCTTGATATCAAAAATGTAATTGTTGATATCAAAAATTACATTTATAATATCAACAATTCAATTTTCACTAGTAATAATTGTTATTTCAGATCTCACAAATTGCTTTTTGGATATGTGCAAATATAAATTCATAAATATGCATAGTAATGACAAATTTACATTTTTGATACCAACAACTGAATTTTTGACATCAACAATTGCATTTCCACCAATAAAAACTATAATTTTTGATATCAACAATTGCATTTCCACTAGTAAAAAGTCACCATAGGCTTCCATTCAAATTGAATTGTTGATATCAAGAATACATACCCTGAGAAGGAATAAAAGTCAAAACGGCTTGCCATACTCTACATCTTGTGTGTATTAAGCAGTGTGTAAGCGAGGCGCAGCTCTGTGCTGGAGTTTAGACCGGGTTAGTTTTGGTCTAATGAAAAATCTATTATAGTTTCTCAAAATAGCAACGCGCCAGCGGTCCGCCTCAGAACGCCTTCCTTTTTAAACCAGAACGCCTATGGGCGCACATATGAGCGCTAATGCATTTGCTATTTAAACAGCGTGCTGCAAAACAACACTTGTGCCAAGCTGAAACTAGTAAATAGCATTTGCGCCGCGCCTTGCGCCGCATTGCGCCGGGTGTATGATAGGGCCCCTTATCTTTTCCAGATTAGTATTGTAATGATTTGAGCCTTTTATACAGCTGCCCTGGACGCTGTGAAGTGACTGTGTTCATCTTTGCTGCTGTGATTGATTAATGTTGTTTTGATGCTCTCTGAACGTTCACAAACAAACTAACATCAGACTAACACACACAGATGAAGAGCACACATTAGACACACTTATTGATCTGAGTGTCTGAAGCAGTGTGTGTTTCAGGTAAATCTGTGTGTGTGTGTGTGTGTGTCTGTGGTCTGCTGTTTGAGACACTCTGTCCTCAGATACTGCTGCAGGTGTGAGAAACACCGACAGTGTCAGACACACACACACACACACACACACACATTGTGTCTTCACCTTTTCTCATGCTAAAAGAAACACAGATGTGTCAGACACACACACACACACACACACACTCTCACTCTTTTATCCACACTCTAACACACACACACTTTTTCTCTCACATGCAGTATGTACTTACACACTGTGTCTGCACCATTTCTCATGCTAAAAGAAACAAAGATGTATCACACACACACACACACACACACACACACATGTATCATCCATTCATTCATTCATTCATTTTCTTTTCGGCTTAGTCCCTTTATTAATCCAGGATTGCCACAGTGGAATGAACCGCCAACTTATCCAGCATATGTTTTACACCCTTCCAGCTGCAACCCATCACTGAGAAACGTTCACACACTCTCAATAAAACTCATACACTACGGACAATTTAGCCTACCCAATTCACCCTGTATCAAGGTGGCGCAGTGGGTAGCACGATGGCCTCACAGGAAGAAGGTCGCTGGGTCAGTTGGTGTTTCTGTGTGGAGTTTGCATGTTCTCCCCGTGTTGGTGGGGGTTTCCTCCGGGTGCTCCAGTTTCCCCCACAGTCCAAACACATGCGCTATAGGGGAATTGGGAAGGCTAAATTGCCCATAGTGTATTAGTGTGTGTGAGTGTGTGTATGTGTGTGTGTGTGTGTGTGAGAGAGAGAATGTGTGGGTGTTTCCCAGTGTTGGGTTGCAGCTGGAAGGGCATCCGCTGCGTAAAAAAACTTGCTGGATAAGTTGGCGGTTCATTCCGCTGTGGCGACCCCTGATTAATAAAGAGACTAAGCCGAAAAGAAAATGAATGTTAATACAAATTTAAATAATGATGCTTAAAATAATGCTGACCATCACAGGAATACATGTAAGCAGGTTGTCTGCTTATAAATAAAGTACATTTAAAAACACACAATTTATAAAATGCCAAAATCGTGTTTACTAGTATTGATTTAAACCATTTACGTCTGTTTACACAAGTTGTTCAAAATAAAATCAAAACAACTTCAGTTCAGCCGGTTTGTAGTTCAGCTTGAGCTCTCAGAACTACACTGACCAGAAGCGCTAGCGGCGTCACCGGAAGTGAGTGAGTTTCCAGCTAAACACGCCGCGCAGGGTCACATTGGATACACACACCGATGTTTTGTAATATTAAATAATAAAGATACTACATTATCATTACCTTCAGTGTACATGGATCCGCCTAAAGCAGGTAGAGGAAGACTTTCATTTCCGCCAGACTTGTTTGTTGTGAATGTGTGTGTGCTGAGCTACAGTACAGTGTGTTTACTGCTCAGAAATGACAGGAGTTTCTCTAGCGATATAATCCAGTTTACTGATCCACACATTACTGTAGAGACAGACTGCCATACCAGGAGTTATTCTGAATATAAATCACTATAATGAGATCAAAACATACTTATTTTATAACACTGTCCTGATTTTCAACTAAACCATAGTGTGTCTGATCAGCAGCAGCAGCTTCTCATCAATACATTAATGTGTAAATCACTTTCTGCTAATATTTAATCTAATAATGTGGTTCCTGTAGTGATCTATCACATGCAGTCCAAAATGTAGCCATCAAACCATCATATTTATTTAACAATATATTAGCACAGTGGTTCTCAAACTGTGTACAACGCAGGCTTACTTCCAGTGGTACACGGAGGAATCACTGAGTAATAAAAGAAAAATACAATTTTAATCATATGATGTGTACGATAACTCCAATCTGATCAGAATTGGCTGTTCTCTAAAGCCTACGATAAAAGCGATGTGCTTAAAATGTTTACTTTAGTGCATCAGCTGCTAAAAATCAATCCAATTGACGCAGAACTAAGGAGGTGTGTGGTGTTTGCAGAGCAGATATGCACTAGAGCAGGGCTTCCCAAACTTTTCAGCCCGCGACCCCCAAAATGACAATGCCAGAGACTCGTGACCCCCAATATTCTCTGAGGTGGTGGTTATAAATACAGAAACCTTGTATGCAATGATGCACACACACACACCAATAGACCCAAGTCTATTCTTTGTTTTTTTATGTATGTCAGTGCTGTAAATGGGCTAGAAAGTTTAACCTGGTGTTACAAAATCTGCTGCATCTGACAGTATTGTTGTGTCTTTAGTATAATGTAATTACCCGAGAAGTCGCAATCCAATAGAACTAGTAACTATAAGCTACTATAGTAACTATATAGTTTATAGTAACTATAAACGACTATTTTTTTCTCTTCAGTAAGTTATTGATAAAATACAGTAAGTCTTAAGGTTTAATAAAAATTAATCGATTTTTAAAAATCACCAGGCGACCCCCCCTTCATTGTCCCGCGAGCCCTCGGGGGGTCCCGACCCCCACTTTGAGAACCTCTGCGCTAGAGCAGTGGTCCCCAACCCTCGGGCCACAGACCAGCACTGGTCTATAGATCAATTGGTACCAGGCTGCACTAAAAATGATTAATTATTTCCGTTTTATTCATTATGTGAGTCTGAATAATCATTTATTTTGAAAAATCTTTTATTTGGAAAAATTACAGTATTCTCTTGTTACATCATGGTCACTTGAGGGGCAAAAATTGAACCCACAAGCCAGCAAAATGAGTAAGAATTGCAGCACGATGCGCTTGCATATTCCAGGAGTGCCTAGTTAAAAACAACTTAACTTTTCAGAATGCAGCACGGCGAGTCACGTGACAAAAACCCACTTCATCAGCTTCATATTTCGTATGGAATATCATTTTGATAGACTGATTATCTCAGACAAACACAGAACACCCAAACACTGCAGTGCTTTTTTAATTTTCTCCAAAAATAAAACTTACAGTGCAGCAATGTTATGTCAGCTTTTCCCCACCAATCTACATACAGGTTAATGTTTAGATTTCAAAAAGTTTTACAAATATGTCATATGTGCATGCAACATTCATTCATTCATTTTCTTGTCGGCTTAGTCCCTTTATTAATACGGGGTCGCCACAGCGGAATGAACCGCCAACTTATCCAGCAAGTTTTTACACAGCGGATGCCCTTCCAGCTGCAACCCATCTCTGGGAAACATCCACACACACATTCACACACTCACACTCATACACTACGGATAATTTAGCCTACCCAATTCACCTGTACCGCATGTGTTTGGACTGTGGGGGAAACCGGAGCACCCGGAGGAAACCCACGCGAACGCAGGGAGAACATGCAAACTCCATGCAGAAACGGCAACTGAGCCGAGGCTCGAACCAGCGACCTTCTTGCTGTGAGGCGACAGCACTACCTACTGCGCCACTGCTTTGCCCCTGCATGCAAGATATCTTTCAAAATCTATCAAATATTGTATAAATATGAATATGATTCTCGTTTTGGAACTGTGCAGTGCTGTAGCTGCTTAATTTGGCCAACTATGCTACTCTATTTTTAGTACTGGTCATTATTGTGGTATATGGAGAGACACTTTTTTTCTGAGGTGGTATTTGGTGAAAAAAGTGAACCACTGTATTAGCAGAATTACTGTGAAAAGTTATGGAAAATCCACTTTGTTGTTTAAAATATTCCTGTAAAAGGGTTATGGGAAACCCATCGTCATTCTCTTTCAGATGATGGAAGTGCTCACAGTCTGATGATGTAGTGTTTGGTTCAACAGATGAACAGAAACGTGTTTATTAACAGCATTCAGGCCCAAAGGTGTCTGAGATATGAACAAAGGTAGAATTATATTTGACTAAAGTTTACCCAGAGTGATTTCACTGATCATACAAGAGTTTCTGACACCTGGGCTGAGTTTTTAACCTCTCGGTAAATCAACTCAGAGTTCAAGTTTAAACTCACAGGTTGTCAGTTGTCATGTTGGCGTGGGTTTCCCCCACAGTCTAAACACATGCGCTATAGGGGAATTGGGTAGGCTAAAATTGTCAGTAGTGTATGTGTGTGAATGAGAGTGTATGGGTGTTTCCCGGTGATGGGTTGCAGTTGGAATGGCATTCGCTGCGTAAAACATATGCTTTATAAGTTGGTGGTTCATTCCTCTGTGGCGACCCCTGATCAATAAATGGACTAATCCGAAAAGAAAATGAATGAATGAACAGCACAGTTTACTGCAGTAAAACTAAAGTGAGTGTTTGAGTGTGTGTGTGTGTGTGTGCGTGTGTGACACTGTGGTGTTTTTGTTGAGCAGAAGAGCCGCACCTGAGGCATGTGGAGAGAGACGTGCTGATCCCAAAGATGATGAGAGAGAAGGCCAAGGAGAGATGTGTTCAGCAGGTGGACGGTATGGGGACATACACACACACACATCACTCACTCACTTTACATACATACACACACACGCATACACACACTCATTTATATTCATACATACGCATGTATACAGGGGCACCAACAGGATTTTATTCCAAAGTGTGCACAGATCTAGCAGCAATGCCCCCCCGAAACATACCCACACCAGCACCAAAGCACGGACAAACTGAAAATACAAAAACAGTGACAGAAAATACTGACGAACAGTTCATTATTGCAACGAAACCTTCCTCACCTATTAGCAGTTTAAGGTCTTCCTCCGCCCAGTGGTCTGCATCTGTTTAAGCTCTTCCTCGTTGTTGAGTTTAATGTCAGGATGAATGTTCATAAAGTCCAGTGAGCCTCTAGTCCATCGTTGTGTTGTGTAAAACAGTCTTCAGGCGCCTCAATATGTTGAAAGGCCGCTCTGTGGAGGCTGTGGACACTGGCAGAGTTAGGAGGACTTTCAGTGTACAATGGAACGTTGGGGAAAATGATGTCATGTTCATTAAGGCTGATTTATACTTCTGCGTCAAATGCACGCGTGCACCTCTCAAAAAATGTAACTACACGTCGCAACGACGCGTACCGCAAGCTCTGTGATTGGTCGGCTTGGTAGCGCTGACGAGTCTGGGCAGGAACGAGAGCCGCGCGAATGGCGCGAGCCCGATGAAGCGATTGTTTACAAGTGTGGAGTCCTGTGAAGGAGCTCCGGATGGAAAGTTTTGTTCTGTGTTTACCTCATGGTTAAAGTTGTTGAACGTCCGCCGGTTCCTGCCTCAAAATGAGCGAGTTTGAGCCACTTGTACATTCAGGAAGTGTTCAGGAAAAGCAAAACACCAGCGAAGAGCTCAACACAGAGGAGCATTAACAGAGACAGTGCGCAGAAGTATAAATGCACAGCTACGCGCGTTGCATGCGACGTGGGTTACGCCGGTCACTTGACGCAGAAGTATAAACCAGGCTTAACTGTGCGTTCACACCGAAAGGTCGCTCTGGCCGCCCTGGCGACAACGCTGTCTGCCTTGAGCTCCGGCAGCGAGAGCGTCAAAATTCACTACATTGATCTGGTATTCAAAGGTGCCGTTGCAGCATATCAGTTACATTCCTGCATACAACATGCTTTCTAGCGTGAAAACGTCACGCACTTCTTATAAAATTCATTTAAACATGGAAGATCAAGTAGCATGTGGTGTGGCTTAATGTGTCCATATGTCTGTAATGTCCTGAAGCAGCTGTACTGTTTTGAGCTGTTGCGTGAGATTCCCGCTTTTTAAAAGATAATTATATATCATCAATGCACATCAGAAACTCACCGGTAGCTTATTTAATGAATGTTCCTGTAAGAAACGACTAAAAACTCAACTATTTAGGCTCCATTTCACTTCCTAATCTGTAATTGCTTCTCTGGATATCACACTAACTTACCCCCCCCAAAAAAAAGAAAAGAAAAAAATTGTACTAATACTTTTCTTTTTAGACTTTACAGACCTGAAACTTGCCTACAGCACTTCTTCATTGTTGCTCTTATAGTTGTGTAAGTTGCTTCCTTGTCCTCATTTGTAAGTCGCTTTGGATAAAAGCGTCTGCTAAATGACTAAATGTAAATGTAAGAAAACATTGCAAATAATTGGAATTGGAATCAGCGAGCGCAATAATCAAACCCCTGGAAAGCGGTGTTCGGAACCAAAGTTCACAGGGCTGTGTTCTCTGAACTCCTCTCAAGCGCTGGACTTCTTCATTCTGATTGGTTGCCGCCAAACCGCGTCATAGCTCATTACCATAAAGTTGACTTGATTTCAGCTCTCCTCCACGCCCACACCGGCGAAGACGTGCTGCGCTGCTCCTCGCTGCTTATCGCCGCTGGCTCTGATTGAAAATGAATGACTTCCTGCTACTTTGACGCTCTCGCTGCTTTCGGTGTGAACGTGCGATTAAAGGGTCATGAAACACCAAAACACATTTGTTGAGCTGTTGGCTGTAGGGATGCTCAAAATAACCAATTAACCCTTACGCCACATTCACACGGGGCGTCAGCGTCAACGCTTCCCATTCACTTTGAATGGGTGACGTCAGGCGTTGCCGAACTGCATTGTGGATCCGTCAGCGCCACTTCAGAGGTGTTGCTCACTGCAGAAATTGGGACTAGCTCAACTTTTTAAGTGCTGATGGAAGCATCAGCCAATCAGATCACTGTATGCAAATACACCAGCTAGACAGTGGCCTATTGCTGACTGAATTTCATTGGCCCCAACTTCAGTCAAGTGTTGACGCTGAAGCCATATGTGAATGGGGTGTTAATCGAAGGGGTGCATTTTTAACTATTTAATGGTGTCAGTTAAACGATTAAAAAATATTATTATATATTATAAAGTTTGGCTGTATAGGAGGCTGATCACACGCTTTTTGCATTGAGAGGGGCATCTGTTGAATGGTTTACTAACAGCCACGAGTGTTTTACGCACTGCTTATGCGCCCTGTGCACCTCACGCAAGTGTGCTGCACGGCTGCTTTTAAGTGAAGGTCTCGGCCGTTAGATCGCCCCCTGGGGACTGCCTGCAGCACAAGTCATAAAGCCCGCATCCTCTGTGTTAATGAAGGAGGCTTGAACCCAAATAAAACAATTAATCACGCTTGCTGATCGCCTCTGTGCTGTCGGGATCATAAACTCAACAAACAGGCTATTAATGATTTAGGGCGCGTTCACATCTGTAGCTCACTTCATTTGGTCTGGACCAAGGGAAATAAATGATGCATTGTTGCATTTTCTGCCGTCTTTGGGTCGTTTTCACACCACACTGCTGGCTTTGGTCCAAACCAGTTAAAACGAACCAACATGCAGTCATCTGACAAAATCCACTTCTCTCATTGGCCGGATGTTGTTGAACATATTTCCTAAACTGCTTATTGATTGGTCAGAATTCACGTGCGGGAAAATGCCAATGAACTCCTGCAGGTAAACAAAACCGGCAGACACAACATGTGGTTTTTACTATGGAGGGATGATTGTGCTGCTGATTGTATCCCTGCTTTAGACAAACTCTACATTTCGAGAATGAAGTGCGGCCGCGGCTGGAAAACAGTGTTTAATGCATCGCTCGTCACTTCAGGAGGAGGCGTGAATTAATTTAGCTAAACTGTGACATGCTCATCTTGTAAATATTATCAATAATCCATCAGGTAATGTTTTCCCCTCTCTCTCTCTCTCTCTGTTAATAAAGCGCTGTCAACAAATATTTTCCTCCATATCCCATAATGCACTGCGCATCGGCTTACGGCAGCTGGATTAGTCCAGAAGGCGCAGTACTTTTTGCGGTTGGACCTGTTTTAGTTCGGATCATATTCTCACCACAAACGAACCGCTCCAGAGGTTCGTGTGAAAATGTACCGAGACCACCTCTTCAAGCAGGTCTCGGTATGCTTATTTGGTCCGCTTTTGGTGCGCACTCGAGTGCGCCTGCTGCATTCTCACCTGCCCAAACCAGCCGCACCAAAAGGGAAAGCGAACTCTAGTGCGATTCAATCCAACTAAATAAGGCAGGTGTGAAAGCACTCTCAGTGTACAACCAACAAACCAACCTTTTCCCATTTGGAAAATTACAGTTATTAATATATGATTAATAGGGGTGTAACGATTTATCGTTGTACGATTTATTGCGATGCAAAAATGTCTCGATATGCATCGTGGGGTTATGACGATTTGATTACGATATGACGTCCGTTTTCTCTTATTAGTTGAGCTGTTTGCACGTGAGCTACGTTCCACCTGCTGTCTTGAGTTCAGATTGCAGCAGCAGTAATGTTAGCAGACCAAGATGAGTGGAGCTGAAATAGAGGATGGCCCATCCTCTCAAAATCGGACGTCTGGCAACATTTGGGTTGTCCAGTCATTGCTTTAGACTCGTCCGCTTTTTGACACGCATACTGGGTCAAACATCCTAAGTTTTAAAGTCTTCACAGTGATTTACATACTTTGCACAGCGACATGGATACCTCCTAATGGTGTTGAAAGAGTCACATACTGTATTTATAAGGCACAATTCACCCTAAAATATCATTCTGTCTTCATATAATGTTCCCGCCGCAAAATCACACATGACGTGAGCTGACCGCGAGCTGTTACTACAGAGGGCGGACTATGATAGACGCGCCCGTATGGCAAGCCGTTTTAGCATTTAAACCTTTGTTCTGACGATCCTTAAATATATTTAGAGATATCTTTAATTATATTTTGACTAGTCATAATTATAATTCGACTAGTCAGAATGACAATTAGAGATATCTGCAATTACAATTGTACTAGTACGAAATCAGATTCTAGATATCTGCAAATATATTATGACTAGTCATATTCCACCATTGACTTCCATTGAAAAATATTTGCAGATATCTCTAAATGAGTTTTGACTAGTCACAATTGTAATTAGAGATATCTCTAAATTAATTTAATTAAATATGAATTAAATACCTGGAAAAATGGATTTTATTTGCACACACAAAAAACGCAAGTGACCAAGCAAAGCCTTAAGCTCTTACTGTTAAACTCAATTGAATAGAAAGCTTATTTTTTTTGCACCTTTACTTAAATTGTTCCTTAATTTTGTCTCTGTCATTTCAATAATATTTTTAAGAAGTTTTTAAATTGTTTTATTTTCCAGAGACAGGCCTGTTTAATTAATTTTCTTGAAGGTTCAGTTTAACAAGTTGAAACAAAAGAAATACATAAAAAATAGTTTACTTGGTAAAATTTGCATTTCAGTTTAATTTTAAATTTTTATTCCAAATATCGTGATACATATCGAATCGTGAACATTATATCGTGATACACATCGTATCGTGAGCTGAGTGTATCGTTACACCCCTAATGATTATTAAACTAAACTAATATACATTTTAAAATTGCTGACGAATCTTATTTTGACAGATTTTTTGTGAAAAATCTTTGACTTTTTCATAAACTCAACAATACACTGGGCAGATTGACTCCCCTGT